TTTGAGGCTCTGTTGTTAAATGCCTATAATCATGAGTTTTTGATTTCTACTGCCTATTACACATTTTCACTTAAGTGTGAGACAGTTAACAGTTTGAGTTCATTATAGACTTCAAAACAGGTACCAATAATCTAGGGAAGAGGTCACCAAAGTTTTTCTGTGAAGTGCCAAACAGTAACTATTTTAGACTTAGAGAGCTCTGTGCTCTCTGCTCCAACTACTAAACCCTGCTGTTGTAGCACAAAAGCAGCCATAGAAAATACATAACTGCAAGCACCCTCTCACTTTCCTTTCTCCTGGGACAACAGAAATACAATTGAGTGTTTTCTTTATTAACTCTGACTGATACCATAGAAATGTCAGAAGCCACTTTAAAAGTTTTCTAGAGGACAGAGAATTATTGTAAACAGATCAATAAAAGCACTTAATAACCAGGATATAGAAATAGCTAAATTCCACAGGGTTTTTATTTAATAGGACTTGTTGAGTAATCGTGTGAGCAATGGAAATGGTAACTTATTTAACTGCATGAACTTTTGTTCTAGTAAAAGCAACTGACATATCTTGCCTTTGTAAATACAGTGAGCTTTGCTTACGTATTTGAGTTTTCTCTTAATTCATTTGTCTTACCCCTGCAAGTCAACATAGGGCATACAAAAAGAAGTTGGAAAATGTTTCATTCAGGGCTCACAATTAAGTTCGTGATCTAGACATATTTAGTTTGTGCATTATCACATTTTTAGAACCATATTTGAATGTCTTTAGGCAGGACATTCATTCCACAATTCACTACAGATCCTATTACTTTCTGTTATTGAATACCATTTCACTGTTTTCTCTTCTTGGCCAGTTAAGGCATTTAAATTTGTGCCATCTTATTTTAAATTAAAGGAAAAATTATTTCCTATCATTTTAATCAATATACTATGATTTGCTAAACCACAGCACTGACGCCTCTTCTAACTATCACAAACGCTTCAGTAGGTACTTTCATAAAATTATATTTTCTTGAAAATGTTCTCTTCCCTGAGAACATATTCACAATACAATGAGCTACAATATGCATAAGATTATGCATAATACATAAAATAAATGTTTAGAAGAAAAAGAATGAAATTCACCCAAATGTCAGGTTACTAATCTTTGGGTGGTAGAATTATGGATTATTTTTCTTCTTTATTTTTGTATTTTCAAGTTCTCTGCAGTGAGTATGAATTGCATTTACAACTAGGATAAAATTCTTTTATAGGAAAAAACTTGCAAGAATTCAAATTGACTGTCCTTTTGGCTCCTTAAATTTGGGATGCTTAAAAAAGAATACACATTGTGTGCCAACTTGGTCCCAGGCACAGTTCTAGATACTTTACATTGAACCATCAAAACCTGTAGAAAAATTATCTCACATTTTGTTTTATACAAGAAAAAAATATTGATATATCCAGAACACAAGGGCATAGAAATCTGAAGAAAACAGATGGGTAAAAAAAGAAGAAAAAACCTTAAAGAGAATTAAAACAAGTGAAAGGAGTCAGCACTTGCCTAGCACCCACGAGGCCCTGGGATCCATCTCCAGCACCATGTGCACACATGCACAAAGATGCAGCAGCAAATGAAAGAAAAGAAAGGGAAAAAATAGAGGGTGAGGGCATGGAAATGATGATTTATTCATGTCATCATCAAATATTAGTGCCAGCTATTTCAAGACTGCTGGACACCATGAGCATACACAGGGTGTGATACAAATCAAAAGATAGCACACACATAGCAGTCCTTCTATATGCACTCAAAATAACATCTTGCTTTAATGAAGCATAAAATTTAAGACAATATATTGCCAACAATTAAAAATGAAGAATGGAAACAAAAGTCATCTAAGAGTGGACAGCAAAGTAAGCTGAGAGAAAGGGGGGATTACTTCTGTTTGCATGGATAAAGAGGACAAGGGCTTTAAAAAAAATTTTTTTTGTATTTGTAATGGACAAAATGCCTTTATTTTATTTATTTATTTTTATGTGGATTGAACCCAGTGCCTCACAAATGCTAGGCAAGTGCTCTGCCACTGAACTACAGCCCAGCCCCAAGAAGGGAGTTTTAAGGAAAAAATGGGTACACACACCAGACAAAGAAGTAGAATCATTCCTGAGTGTCATGCCTATACTTGTAGCCTAGTGACATGAAGGCCCCTCATTTTATCTGCAACCAAATCTGTTACTCACCATCTCCTCCCATTTTCTTGGCCTCAGATGGATTTATTATCCATTCAGGAGTTTGTTTACACTGGGCGTGGTGGCACACACATGTAATCCCATGGGTGGGAGGCTGAGGCAGGAGGATTGGGAGTTCAAAGCCAGCCTCAGCAACAGTGAGGCACTAAGCAACTCAGTAAGACACTGTCTCTAAATCAAATACAAAATAGGATTGGGGATGTGGCTCTGTGGTTGAGTCCCCCTGAGTTCAATCCCCAGTAGCACCCCCCCAAAAAAGAAGTTTGTTTATTCAACAAATGTCCATTGCATACCTGTTATGTGTGGGCACTGGTCTTATAGTAAAGACAAAGACCTTGTAGAATAAGTAAATGAAAAAAAAATCATAAAAGAAGAAAAGCAAAGAAAAATAGACTTACTAACAAGAAAAATGCCAGAAGAGTGTTTGGATTTGATTTGGACCTATCTGGGGAAAAAAAAAAAAAAGACATTTAAGTAAACTCTGAAGGAAGAAAGGGAGTCCAGAAGATGTGTGATAGAAGTGGAGGTTCTCAGCACAGTGAGCATTCTGGGCAAGAAACTGAGAGAACAATTTAGAACTTCAGTTATCTGTATCTATAGCAAGGAAAATATGGGGTGAGTGTGGTGGAAAATGCAGATAGAGAGATGGTCAGAGCTTTGTAGTTCTTGTTACAAATTGTGAATCGCATTCTAAATGCAATGATGTCATCAAAGAAGGGAACTAAAAAACTGATGCCATCCCTGCTGTCATGGGTCATACAGACTAGTGAGGGATACAGACAATTACACAACTGATTTCACCCTGTGTCCTAAGTGTTGAGATAGGGGACTAGTGAGTTCTTTGAGAGCACTGAGGTGGGACACCTGGACCAGTCTGAGAAAGGTAGGATCACTCTCCACTTGGACCATGGCAACAGCTTCCAAACTAGTTATGCAATCTTCAGTGTCTATTTTCCAATCTAACTTCCATACTGCTGCCTGTCATTTTCCTTAACATAAATGAGAGCCTGTCAGCTCAATACCATCCACGGCTTGCCAGAAGGTAAATTCTAATCTTTTTGATCTCATGTCATTGTTTGCTTTTATGTTTTCTTTGTTTAAACTTTTCCTAGTACCTATCACAATGATATCAAAACTCTTTTTTACTCAATTCATAGTAAGAAATACAAGTACAAAAATGCATATCCTCATAAAACACTAAATTTTAGGTAGGATTGTTTTGATACTTTCTATTCTATGCTATTTTTCTTCTTTAAATGATGTTTGATTTATCCATGATGTGCTGAGTCCTGGCCTACAGTGTGAAAATCATTGACCAGTCCCTCCACTACTATCTTCCCTATCTAGTTCTCAGCAAACTCTGTACTTTTACCCTTTGCCCAAGCAGTCCTGGATGCCAGGAATGTCCTACCCTTTTTCACCATTCTTTCAAAACTCAGTTCAAATACTACTTTCTTGGAGAAAGGTATACGGTCCCAGCTTCCATCCTTAGAGGTCCCAGGGCTTAGCACATCCTAAGTGACAGCATTTGTCATGTAAAATGCATTAAACTCTGAACTAGATCTCTGGATGTAACATCAGATCAAAAATAAGGTCTAATATGAAGCAAAGAGAATGTTATGTTGAATAAATGGAAACGGGCCTCATTTTGCACTTACCCTCCCTACTATCTTAGCTGTGCCTGAGACCAACCAGCCTTCTTTTATTCCTCAAACACACCAGGCCTTCCCCCAGCCATTTCCAGGATGGGATACTCTTTATTTATCTTCACATTAAGTATACTTTCAGAGAAGTTGTCTGCCCAGTTTCTCATCACACTTCCTTTACTTGTCATGAGAAATTTCTCTCTCTCTCTGAAATTACTTTGTTTACTTGTCTGTCTCCCGCATCATAACGTTAGCTCCTTGAGGGAACTAGCTACCCAAATGCCCCTGGAACCTCAGCACCTAGACTAGTGCAGAACACACAGCAGGTGCTCAAAACACACCCCACAACCAGTAAGTGGGAGAGGAGGCAGACAAGGCCACAGGGGTCCTAGAGACCTGTCTTGAAGCCGCCTTGAAGGGTGGCGGCTCACACAGGTACACAGACCCAGCCCCTGATCCGGAGAAGAGGGAGGGAGCCAGGCGCCAGGTGCCACGTTCCATGGCCTACCAGTAATAAGTGACTGTGCAGGCAGGGCACACTCGCTCGGCTGGGGCTTCGCACACCTCGCAGCAGAGCCGGCGCCCCTTGGGCACCGCCAGTGGGTAGATCACGTTCATGTTGCAGCCAGCGGCTGTCGGTCTCTAGGACGGTTGCCCAGCGAGAAAACGCTGGGCACCGGCGTCACGTGACGACCGCGACAGCCTAGTTACCAGAGTTTCAAGGGCAAAGGGGAGGGGCGTGGCTCGACTGACATTTTGAGCTTTAAAACAGGGGGAGGGGAGGGTCACAAATTCCACCAGTCACAAAGGTTAAATGACAAAAGAGAATGCACTCCGGTGGATGCAAGCCCAGGAAGGTCTGTACGGTGGCCGGTAAGAGTCAAACACGGCCCGTTCTTACCCAGGTCAGGAAACTAACAAGAGGGAATGCGACCTTTCCAGATGTTCACTATCCGAAAGTGAGAATTCCCTCGGCGCAGTATCATTTTCTCTGGGCTCTGGGGCACAATAACCGCGCATTTCCACACCCGGCGAGATTGGGACCTAGGGGAAAACGTTGGGGAAGGACCAACCCGCTCACTATTGCGGCTGGGCGTGGACTGGGTACGAGGAGGGCGTGGTGCCGGCGGCGCCGGGACGTGCGCAGGCGCAGGGAGAACTCGGGCACTGATGGAGGAAATGGACATCGTCTCCGAGTTCCCCCAGCCTTCGGGTGCTGCTCGCTCGGCCGAGGTTATGGCTCGCTTCGCGGCCCGGCTAGGCGCACAGGGCCGGCGGGTGGTGTTGGTCACTTCAGGCGGCACCAAGGTCCCTCTGGAAGCGCGGCCAGTGCGCTTTCTGGACAACTTCAGCAGCGGACGGCGCGGTGCAATTTCAGCCGAGGCCTTCCTGGCTGCAGGCTACGGGGTCCTGTTCTTGTACCGCGCTCGTTCCTGTTTCCCCTTTGCCCACCGCTTCCCGCCTCAGACCTGGCTGTCGGCCCTGCGGCCTTCTGGCCCAGCTAAGTCGGGCGTGCTGAGCCTGGAGGCCGAGGAGAATGCACTCCCGGGCTTCGCTGCGGCTTTGCGGAGCTACCAAGAAGCAGCGGCTGCCGGCACCTTCCTGGCTGTAGAGTTCTCCACTTTGGCAGACTATTTGCATCTGCTGAAGGCTGCTGCCCAAGCGCTCAGTCCACTAGGTGCGTGCCCTAGGGACCCAGCGATTGCCAGGAAGCAAGGCCTTTATCCCCAGCCACTTTATCCCCATACCTCTGGTCTTACAGTCTGGGAACTCAAATTGTAAAGGAACTGATCCCACACCTCTCCCCTATTTGTTACACCTTCTACTTCTCTTTGCAGGGCCTTCTGCGATGTTTTACCTGGCTGCGGCCGTGTCAGATTTCTATGTTCCTGTCTCTGAAATGCCTGAACACAAGATCCAGTCATCTGGGGGCCCACTGCAGGTGATGGGCGCTTCTCTTCCAGAGATCTGATCCCCTATAACCAATCATGGGTTAATTTTCCTCTTGATCTGGAGATGGCCTATCTGCCTTCTGTATGCACTAGGCACTGGGGATACAGAGATGAATAAGACACCGCCCTCCCTCAAGGACCTCACAATCTAGCCAGGGACCTGGACACAGACATAATTACAAAACAGAGTGATAAATGCTCTAGTGGAGGTATGTACAAAGTGCAGTCAGATTTGGGGGAAGTGAATTGGGGGAGTTGAGGAAGGCTTCTTGGAGGAGATGACTTGAACTGGGTTTTAAAAGATGAGCAGAGGGTATAACAGTGGGGAAGATCATTTCAAGTGGAGTTATACAGTTGGAGTTTGGAAACACTGCTATGTTTAGCAGTAGCTGCTGTGAATCAAAGTGCTTTTAGTAATGCTGGAAAGTGGACTGAAGAGGCAGCTTCACAGAATATTTTGTTTTGTTTTTGGAGATAAGATCTTGCTATGTTGCCCAGGCTGACCTCAAACTTGGAATCTTCTGCCTCATCCTTCCAAGTAGCTAGGATTACAGGAGTGGGCCACCATGCCTGGTTTTTACTCCTTCTTAAGGAGCTTGGATTTTATCCTGTGGAGACAAGTAGCACATAAGTAGGAGAATAAGATAGTTTTTGTGAAAAGAACATTCTGGCATCATTTTGAAAGGTGAAGTAGGGAATAGAGTGAATGGGATAGTTCAGTTGGGGGTTATTGTAATTTAAGGAAGAGGTATGAAGAGGACAGTTGTATGGTTGAGTTATTAAGATAATCTGGTGTCTTGGAACCTGAGGGGAAGTTCCTAGTGATTCAGGTAGAATCTACATAGGACAAACTCTATCAGTGGGGCCCTTGTATGATAGTTTATTTTTTCATTTCTTCAATGAGTACCTACTGTACCAGGTGTTAATTGTAGGAACTGGAGATAAAAGCAGTGAAAAGAAATACCTAGCACTTGAATTGCTTACACACTGCAGGGGAGTCAAATGCATGCTACTCTTGGTAGGGATAAATGCTAAGGAGAAACAGTGGGGAACTAGCAATATATGATTCTTATCACACTTGCTAACAGCTTTTTAAAAAGAGATCCTGGTGATTAGTTTAGTGATTCACACTTTCAAAACTCTGGGATCTTTAGCCACATTTTTTAGTTCTGTCTTGAAAGTATACAAAACAAATCAACATTCCTCTTTGAAGGTGTTGGAAACAGATGGTATGAGTTTTAATCAAGTGAAAATCAGTTGTTTCCTCAGTGCTGTTGTGTAATTTTTCCTTTTACAGTTCCAGTTACAAGTAAATGGAATCTAGAGCCATTCTACTAATGTAGAAATATTTTAAACTGAGAGATTTAAAAATCCAATATTTTTGGACTTCTGCCAGCATAACATTTGCATGAACCAATAAGTTATATTTGCTTATTTGAGGGTTTACTTGAAGAAATAAAGGAGAACGTTCCAGAAAATGTAATGAAGGTAGCAGAATAGGGCTGATTAAAAAAAAAAAAAAAAACTTGGTTTGCCCCAGAATATGTATAAAGCCTTAAATTTAGGTATTAGTATGAACACCACAGATTTAAGGCTTTTAAGCTAACCATTTAATTTGCTTTGAAAAGTCTGCACAATGGGAAAATCTCACTAAAATTTATATACGCAAAAATCTGAGTCCCTGATTCCTTAGTTTCCTGATAGGTAGTGATCATTGTTTGCTTATTAAGCTTTTCTTTTTCCAATACAGATAACAATGAAGATGGTGCCAAAAATGCTTTATCCTTTGGTTAAAGATTGGGCTCCCAAAGCCTTTATAATTTCCTTTAAGTTGGAGACCGACCCCTCCATCATAATTAATCGTGCTCGGAATGCTTTGGAAGTTTATCAACATCAACTGGTGGTAGCTAATATCCTTGAGTCAATACATTCCTTTGTTATTATTGTTACCAAAGACTCAGAAACCAAGTTATTGCTATCAGAGGAAGATGTAGAAAAAGGTGTAGAGATAGAAAAGAAGATAGTGGAGAATCTTCAGTCTCGACACAAAGCTTTTATATGTGACAAAAACTGAACTAAAAAAAGTTTTATAGGATCAAAAATTGTTCAGTGGACCAGGGCTCTTACAAATGGCAAGAACTAGAATAAATTATTTGCTTTTATAAGAACAAAGAAAAAAAGGAAGGTAAAAATTGTGGTATGCAGACAATATGGGCTGGCTTTTGCCTCTTAATGACTGAACCACCTGACACACTGACCTGAAATGTTATCTTGACTTGGAAATTGAACACTAGAGCTTTGCCTTGACTTTTTAAAAAGCCAAGAAATAAACAGCTTTTAAAAAAGAGATCCTGATAATCTCTTTTAAAGTGTGAAATCACTAATATAATTTGGGAATTATATATTCTGCAAAATGTACATGAAAAGTAGCTGAATGCTGAATATCCATCTACTTCATACTGTAGAAGGGGGATTATGGATGCATACATAAGTGGTCATGTTTTCAAAATCAAGTATTTGAGTGCCTACTCTGTGCAGGCCCTGTGCTGAGCTATGAGGATTAAAAAGATGAATAAATATGTTTTGCTGGGGAAATGGACATATAAAAAATTAAGTGCAATAAAATGTGTGCCCACAAACCAACACATGGGAAGGGTGTTGTTTTTTGGAAACTTAACAAAAGATGTGCGTAGAAGCAAAAGATACCTCCCTCAATCTTTTTTCTTTTCCTAGATTTACTTCATATTTGAATAAAAATTTACCTTTCAAATATTTTAGGACCATTCTTGAGGTACATTTAATACAACCTTCCACCTAGAACTAGGCAGGGACCAACTGGTGACTAACCTAAGGGATGCATTACAGTTGATAAAAAGTGTGGGATAAGTGGGGCTAAAACTAGAAGTGATCCCTTTTTTTTGGTCATAATTATTCCTGTGAGAATCACCTCATCTTAGTGCTCAAAAACAAGCACCATTCTATGTGGAATTAAAGAGTTCTCCACTTAGGTTGATTAATGTATTCAGAGCACTTAAAAACAGTATTTACACAAGTGAAAATTCTGAGGCAGGGGGAGTGAGGGGGTATGTGTTTTGGTTTAAAGAAAAATGAAAATGAGTCAACAAAACAAGAAAGAACTTGATTTAGATTAGAGTATCAAAGAAAGTTTGCCTGAGGAGGTGATACTGAAACTGACAAATAGGTGTTAAGTGGGCTGTGTGGTGGTGATAGCATTTTAAATCAGAGAAAACATTCTCAAGGGTTCTGTTGCCAAAGGGAGAGATTGATACAACTTGCCTAAACCGAATTTGCCATGCTTAGGACTTCTTAGAGGGTTTCAACTTTTAAGGATAATTCTGGTCAAGCCCGGTTTCTCCATGTTGAAAGTTGGGTGCAAGTGTTGTGTTTAATATGAGGCTCCCCATGTGGTTAGTAACAGATCTAGGCCTAAAATTCAGAACTCCTGACCTAGCATCCTACCTTTATAAAAATGAAATAAGGGGCTTGCCTAGTATGTGGGAGGCACCGGGTTCGAGCCTCAGCACCGCATAAAAAAAGGTACTGTGCTCATCTAAACAAAATTCTAGATCAGGAAGTCTAACGTAAGGAGCCCGGGACTTTGATAAGGCTGGGACAAGCTATTTGAGAACTAGAAATGCTATTAAATTGCAAGCGCCTGCAGTTATATAAATTATGGTTAAGGTTGTCTCAGGAGCCAATGGCGCGAGTAGTATTCAACGCGTGGCTGGAAGAACTCCGCCCCAAGACCCAGAGGCCAATGGAGTGCGCCGTAACAAAAGTCCTCACAGGAAGAACAGTCAGTGGCACCAATGGCGTGCGTCGTACCTACAGTTCCTGCCGGAATGACGCCTTTGCGTCCCAGCAGCGAGGGCGGTTGCTATGACGCCCTGGCTCCTTAGGCACCTGCAGTTCGCAGCTGAGCTGCTAGCCGCGCACCGACCCCGGACCCTCTCAGCACCCTCCAAAAGAAAATTTCCTCCTGCTTCCTGAGGTTCCCGCCTCAACTCCGAAGAGGAAAGCATCTATTCTCCACTCCTTTCCCCCCACATTCCAGGGCTTTTCCGCTTCTTTTCCAAGGAAGGACCGAAACGAGCCCTTCGTCTGGCCTTTCCAGTCGAAGCTGGAGTGATTCTGCCTGAAGGATTCGCCTGTTTTCCCTGGATCCGCTCTTATTAAAACAGTGGCTTAGAACACGCTCAGTGAGTTATGTAGGCGTTCCTTTTCTCACCTAACCGGTGAGGGGCACACCCCGGACAGATGATTGCACCCGAAGATCCAAGTCGCTAAAAGTTCACGGAGGCACAATTGTCCCCTACTTGTAGGCCGTTTTCTGCTTTTTTTTTTGGCCGGTCTTCGTCATGCAGAACCTTGAAGAAGACTCTGGAGAAGATTCTGGAGGCCTTTGGTAACCTCAGCATTGGAGGTCAAGTCAGTTATTTTCTGCCTTTAAAGCTACAACCTCATCCACTTCTCTCATCAAGCACCAGTTTCCTCATCCTGTTCATTCCACAACCATTTTTCACCCTTCCCTGTCCACACTGCACATTATTGAATGTCCATTATATCCATCACCTCTGTCATCTATAGAACACCCCTTTCTGCTTTCCTGATGCAATGCTTTGCACAGCTAAGTCTTTTCTCCAACTCTGCAATCATTAGCAAGATTTTTTTGTTTCTCTGCACTGTGGCAAACTTTCTGTCTGGGGTAAACTAGAGACTAGAATGGAAAAGTACACATTGGAAAATACAAACATCAAATTACTGCAAGCCTACTGTGTTTTGAAAAATGAAGGGGAAAAATGAAAATGATCGTAGTATTAGGCCCATTTCAGGCTTATATAAAGAAGGTTTTCCTTTTGAATACTTATGAAAATAAGATACTTATGAAAATTAGATACTTATGAAAATGTCAAAAATGATCAAAAAATAGGATTTCAACTTTAAGTTCACATAAATCCAACACCTGATGATAGAATTTGCTAGAGAGAAGGTGCTTGTAAAAATTCTTGTGCCTCTTCATGTTCATGCCTCTTCTGAACCAGGAAACTATTCTTTGTGATGTAAACCAATAAGGGGGAGTGATTGAAAAACAAATAATTTTGGTAAGGGAGCAGCAGGTTCAGGGGTCTTTAAAAAGACTAGGACCGATGGTTAAATATAGGATAAGATTGATTTAGACCTAGTGAAATTTTATTTTAGCTTGGAAAGCTTGATTTAGTTTGTCTTGTAGCATGTATTCCTTGTTGATTCTTATCATTTCTTCTTCAGCAATAAACCTATTTTGAGGCTATATAAATCATATTTTAGCAGATATTTGGAGGACTATAACCATTTGAATATTTTGATGTCACAGGCCAATCAAAACAATATTTATGATTTCTCTTGCTTAGAGTCAGTTAGATTTCCAAATAATTAAAAATTCATCTTTCTCTTCTATAATAGATTAGGAAAGAAAAACAAGTTCTGCAGTTTTTCACATTGAATGGAAATGAATAAATTCTCTTTTAAAAAAGAGACTGTTAGATGCTATTTTATAAGGAGCTTTCCTTTCTTCTTCCTTTATTGACCAAACATCATTATAGCATAATTAATTGGAAATTTTTCCTCTTACCCAGAGCACATTTCTAGGCCTAGGAAGTGATTTATTTTTATTAGAGCATTATAATTTCACATAGTAGCTAGATTCATCCCCACAAAAATGTACATGCATGAAATCTGACTCACTTCATTTCAGTCCCATTTCCTTCCTCCTCCCCCTTTCCTCCCTTGACCCATTCTCCACTACACTGATACTCTGTTTGCATTTTCTTTATCCAACCTTGATTGATACTTTCCAGACACACATAAAGGTGAAATTCCCTGTGGTATATTTATATATACACATAATGTGATTTTCGTAAATTCCTTTCACATTCCCCCGTACTTTTCCATCCTTCCTCCTTCTCAATCTCCTTATTCTCCAATGATCTTCGCTATATTTTTATGATATACAATCCCTGTGGAGTTGATTTTGTCTCCTAAGAGACAGTTGGCAATATAAGGAAACATTTTTAGTTGTCACAACTGGGAATGTGCTACTGGCATCTTTGACACTCATTTTACCATTTTGTTCTTTTCACCTGGAAAAGTTTAGAGACTTAAAAATACCACAGGATGCATTTCTTTGAGATACTTAATGAACATTTATTCAGGATCTGCTTTGGAGAGAATACTATTTCCGTACACTTTGTTAGGTGGGCAATTTTAGGTACAGTTTAGATGTCAGACCATTTATAATTCAAAGAACAGATTTATGTAAAGATCTGCTTTATTAGAATCTTCAAATTTCTCAACCATGAGGTCTCAATAAATTCACTGTAATATTGTTCATTATGGGATGTCTTAACACTATTCTAGGCAGAGGGACCTGAATATCTACAGTATGGGAATATAAGCAGCATGATGGGGCCTATACATACATGACATGGAATGCTAAAGTCAAGAGTAGCAGAATATAAGGCTAGAAAGGCAGGCAGGAACCAGATTGTGGAGTATCTCTAGTGTCATCCTAAGGGGCTTGGACTCTGCTTAAAAGCAATGAGAATGCTAACCAGCAAGTGATTTGCATTCAGAAGGATCAGTCTGAAAGCTTGGAGAACACCGATTGGATGGGGGCCAGCCTGGCAGCAGGCCATAATAGTTAAGAATGCTGCTACACTAAACTAAGCAAATAGGAAAGCCTAAACTAAGGCAACAGCCATGGAGATAAAAAATGATAAAAGAGGTAGAATCTATCGCCACTGACTATGTGTGAGTAGGATGAATAAGGAGGGGTCAAGGATGACTCCTAGATTTCATCACTAAATTGATGGTGATTTTAAATATGGAATACAAAAGGAAAAAGGGGGAAATGAGCAGGTTCTTCAAACTGAGTTATTCAATTGAATATGCACTAATTTAAAATGGTAAACTCACATTATATTGCCCTCTTTGCCTCTATCCTGTTCTCTGAAACTTGAATCTCTGTAAATCCTATCTTTTTAAAGGTTAGGCTTTAAAGACCATATTTGTACACTTCCAACCCATTCCAACTATAACTAGCTGAATGAGAAATATACATGGAGAAGAGAGCACAATTCATTGGGTGAGAAAAATAATTTCTCTTTCAAAAATTGAACAACAAGGGCTAGGGCTATAGCTCAGTGGTAGAGTAACTGCCTAGCATGTGTGAGGCATTGGTTTGGATTCTCAGCACCACATATAAATAAATAAAGGGCAATCAGCAACTAAAAATATATTTTAAATTGAGCTATGAGATACAATCATAAAATGACTTAATCTGAAAAGTTTCACAGGCTTGGGACTTAAATGACTATTTTCAGTCTTGCTAATAAGCAAACAGAGAAAGTTCATCCATGATGAGAAGCAAGAGAAGCAGATGAACTCACAGGAAACCCTAGAGACAAAAGACCTTGTGGGTGTCTTAATGACTGCCCACTTTCTATACCTGTTTTCTGTGTAGCCTTGTTGTTACCTGCAATATATTCTTGTATCTTATGCTTTCATTGTCTCTCTTATAGTAGTCAGGATTGGCTGGCTGTGAGGGACAGAAAGGGCAAACTAATATTGGCTTTAAAGAGAAAGAAAGTTACTTTTCTTCTGTGAAGGTCAAGAAGAAAGTAGGCCATAACTGCTAGGGCATCTTGAAACTGTCAGAGACCCAGGTTTCTTCTCTTGTGGTGTTACATCATCCATGATATGTGGCTTGCACT